TTTGTCATTAGTATGTGGACATCTGGCTAACACTCAGTTTGCGTTGATGTTGCCTCACTTTTAGCTCTTTCAGATTGTTCCTAGCCTTTAGTAGATCTGTGATGTGATGTAGGAACCAGGCAACGTAGTACATATGATTTGTAATTCTGAAATTACTGTTACTTCCTCTAAGAAGCCATGTGTACACGTGTAAGTATGTTTCAGCGGGGCAATATAATCAGTGGGATTTTTTATCTAACACATAATCATTAAAATGGAATAACATGACTTTTTGTCATAGAACAAATCATCTGTTCATTGCCTTTATTTAACATTTAACTTTTAACTCTTGGTAGTCTAGACGAGCAATGAGATGTCCTTGTAAAGGTAATCCACTCATCATTGTATTTGAGAGGTTTTTTTCCCCGTAATTCCAAATGTATTTGAAGAAGCAAGGCATCCTGCAAACAGCTGTTTCTGTTAAGATACTGTGACTGACAAAGGGTAATTTTCAGCTTCCTAGGGCCCTTTTCTTATTCTGATGGATGGTAGAGCTTTCTCTCACGAACATAAAAAAAGTACGCTTCACAGGGTTTTTACCACCAAGTGCATGGGAAGTCTTGTATCTGACAGACTCACTCTCATAACTCCCAAGACTTAGGTGGGATTTGAATCTCTACAATGGCACTTTTCTCTCTCAGTCAAAGGCTTTGTACTCATTTGTGAAAAGCCTGAAGGTAGGAAAAAGGAAATCGATTGAATTTTGGAGGTTTTATAAATGCTCTGCAACTTTTTCCTTTGTCTGTCATCAACTTTTTGATGCAGATGTATTTCAGAAATTTCATTGGCCGCTTTCTCCCCCTGCTGCTTTTTGGGTGCATTTTCAAAGAGAGTGGATGGAAAAGGGGAGCTGGAAAATTCATAGGTGTAGTAGGACCTACTTCAGCAGAGAATCGCTTTCCTATTGGATCACTTTGCTATTTCTTAACTCAGTGACATAGTGAAAGACCGGATGAGAATCATTTGTTTTTAAGGCCAAAGGAAATGGAAAAGAAGTGAAATTGAGGCGAGCGTAAATGAGCTTGCACTCTAATCTCTTCAATGCTTCTTTAAACTTGTGTGTGTATGTAGGGGAGGGAGAGAGGGATTTACATGTCCTGACTAGCCTTTGTTGCTGTTTTTAGGATGTAGCCAGCTCTGCTAGTGGATGGCGACTGTTGTAGGTACAGCATGCGTAGAGTCATTTATGACATGGTCTGAAACTTGCACTGAGCACGTGGCATCTCTGACTCTGTGGGTCTAGAAGGAGGGCTTGGGACACCATTGACTTGACTCGGGAAACCTGAGGGCTGATTTTTTTTAGACCAAGATAGTTTCTGGGCTGTTACAGACCCAGTGTGATAGGGTATCTTGTGGCCCATTCAGAGGCTCAGCTGTCCTAAGGAAAAGATTGGAACCTTTCTAGTCCATAGTCATTCGTTTTCCAAAGGTTAAAAACAATAGGTGATTGCATACTGTGTTCCATAGATGTTTACCAAAGCCTTAATCCTCTACCAGGACTAAAAGCAAATGTTAGCAAATGTTAAAAACAAATTTTGCTCCCCGCCAAACTCCAATTAAAATATTTTTGCCTGTAATTAAGTTTGGGCTTCTCGAAGAATGAGTACTATACAGAAGAGATTTATTATCACCAGGTGTTACGCATAGAAATATACTATCCTGAGTTCTAAAGTCGTTTTGAAAAAAAGGGGCTTGGTTTTCTTTTGAAATATTGTTTTCCACAGATAACAATGATATTAAATTATTTGGTCTCCTCATTTATTGTTTGGGTAGAAAATGCAGATTTTGTGTGTGTGTGTTTTACAAGCTTTCTTTAACATAAGTAGCAGTTTCTGGTAAGGTAGTATTGCTATGCATTTGCATTATTATAGAATTAAATTATGGATTCTGTCACTCAAAAGAGAATGCTTTATAAATCAAGTAAAATCTCATAACTAAGATAAATAAGTTTTTAAAATCTATGCTGCCTCATATTCCACACTTTAGTTTTATAGCCCAACTTATGTACTTTTTAAAGTGTACTTCTCTTTTTTTTCCATTTCTGTGTACTGTTTTTGCTTTGAGAAAATGTCATTAGTTTTCCAAGAAAAAGCTTAAGAAAAGTTATTACATGTAAAGGACGGTAATGTCAAAGCACAAAGGCAGGTAGTAATTCTTTATCTGTAGATTGGCAGGAAATGTGCCAAATACACCGTGTTGTCTCCCTCCCTTCCTTCCTCCCTCCTCTCTGATTGCATTCAATGTAAATGATGTTAAAACTCTAAATTATAACAAATGGTAAAATTGCAATGTTTTCCTTTTTTCTTAACTGATCTATTGTTTGGAATTCCTGAATATAAGAGACAGTCTTCATTATATAGCTTTTTTTGGAGGAGGGTTACAAATTGTGTACCTCCTAAATGTTGTGTTTGCCACTTGTCTGGAAAAGCTATCAAGGTGGGTTTGCGATCCCAAGGCAATGCTGCTCAGCAGGTGCCTAATTTCTTTTTCACTGCTGCTAGTAACTGTCCCAAAGCATGGGAACTGGAGCAAGGGTCCTAAATGTGAGTATGCAGGAAGAGGAGAAATAGTGTAAGGGGAAGGAAGGTCAGGAGTAAGCTATTTAGACTTGGTTAGGGGGCAGGATTTCCAAATGCAGCTGCACTTAGTGATAAAAACAACTGAAATAAAGAAGAGGGCTCACAGGCAGAGATAGAGATTTAAGATCTGGGCAATTGCTGTGATACATGAAACTTTACGAGAATTTCATTTCTCCAGGGAAAAGAGATTGGAGGAGAACAGAGGAGTTAGGGCTGAACCTTGGGGAAATCTCTAATGTTAGGGTGTGGGAGGAAGAGAAACCCAAAGTATAAAGTAGCATGCTTGGCTGTGGAAGCCACCAAGTGTCACTGCTTCTCCCATGCTGTTAATTCTGAGCCAGATAACCTCAGTTGTGCTGGGTGGAGGGTGAAAAATCTAGGGACTAAAATCCTTGTGACTATCTTTGCCTTGGTTCGTGTCGTGGTAAGTGTAAAAAGAAGCTTATATTTTCTCTTAAGGGGCACATTAACAGGAAAAAACTCTCCATTACTGTGATTTTTAGCACATATAACGATTTCCCTACAGTCCTTAGATGTGCTGAAATTATGTAGCTATTCCTAGCCTACTTTTATGAATTCAGGAAGATTGGGTCAATACCGTTCTTAACTCTTACTACCAATAAATTCTTCCTTTTCCGGAATGTGCAGAGAAATGTAAATGTACGTTGATACTAAGATACTATTTGATTTTATAAATCATTTAATTCGATTAAAAATAAATTGCTCAGTGAGAGAAACATAAGGACCAACCTGACAGAAAACAGTACTGGCTTCTTTAGTTTCTCAAGCCGTGTTTTAAGTTCTACTCAGCTTCTTGCCTGGGCAGGTAAAATAATAGAGCCCCCTCGCCCCAGCGATCTAATATTTAAAAGAGAAGTTGCAATGCATCTAGTTTTGCATTGTCAGGGAAAAAAAATTTCTCCTCTACCCTTGTAAGTTCCTCTGGCTAGTCTAAGAATTAAATTGACATGACAAAGATTAACAAGAGAAAGTAAAATTGAATGATGTGCGTATGGGAAACCCAAAGATATGAAGTTTGCTGACAGGCAATTGAGGTTTATATGCCATCCTGAGCCAAGGAGAAGGGGACAAGGGTCTGGGAGTTCAAAGGAAAGGAAGGTAATTCACAACAAGAATGAAAAGAATAAATGTTTGGTAAACAAATGTTTGCTGGGCCATCCATAAACAATGCGACCCAGAGAGGACTTTGATGAAACCAGCATTGGTAAGTTTTCCCGTCTACCACGCCTACCTCATGTTCTTTGTAGAGATCTCTGGTGATAGCTCTCCTTCCTGGAACAGACTCTTTGTCTGAATTCTTTAGGCAGTTAAAGGGGAAGTACAAGAAAAACTTCCTCATGCCAAAGAGACACATTTTGGGGTGGCAGAGTTTCCTCTAGCATTCTATATAGCTCTGTAAAGTTTTGAATGACACCTTGATGTTCAGTGAAATGACAGGAATGCTTTAATAACAAGATAACTAAATATGGAGAAGTGATTGTGTAAAATATTTAGACATCATAAATAAGCAAAATTTATAGCATGTGTTGAAAACACTTGATGAACTAACTCATTTTCTCCTCGGAATTCAAGTGGCCTAGTAACTTGCACTCTTGGGTTCAAAAAAAACGTTGCTTTTTTGCTCCACCCCTCCCTCCAATAAGCTCATGCCCTGTAAAGAACTTTAGCATCTATGGGAAGAAGAATTGCTTGCAGTTGCACTTGTCTTAAAAGGATTATGGTGAACCTAAAAGGATTATTGGTGCAAATGAGAGAATCATTAGCTGCCTTGTGTGGTGCTCGTGAGTTAAACACAAAAACAGGTCACATTTGACAATGTGATAAATACCTGTCCAGTGACATCCTTTGCTACCCCATAGTAAACACCATAATTAGCAGCCGTGTCAGCATTTAGGCAACACCAAAGGCATGTTTGATTCCACAGGACTGACATATTATCCTGTCTGGAAGTGCTTAAACCACCAATAAAACATCAATAAACAAATCGATAAAACAAAAATATAGATAAGTTAAAAATATTTTACATTGTAAACGTACCTCGATGTATATCAAAGTAGAGCAGAGAAACTGGCTAAGAGAATGAGTTCTGGAATCAGACTAACTGGGTTTTAGTTCTGCTTTTGTCTCTTTTTAGCTGCGTGAGCTTCTCTTAGTCTCAGTTTCCTCAACCGGAAGATGAAGATTATAAGAGTATCAACCTTAGAGGGTTGGTATGAAGATTGAATAAGTTCATTCATGTAAAGTACTAATTACAGTACTTCACAGATACGAACAACTTGATAAATCAACTTTTATTATTTTCTTAGCCAGACCGCATTTCTGGAAATATTAATGAAAATTCGTCTGATTCTTCCTTTTTAGGGTCGGTGTGCTAGAGAGAACTGCAAGTACCTTCACCCTCCTCCACACTTAAAAACGCAGCTAGAAATTAATGGACGGAACAATCTGATTCAACAAAAGACTGCCGCAGCCATGTTCGCCCAGCAGATGCAGTTTATGCTCCAAAATGCTCAGATGTCATCACTTGTAAGTCACAGCTTTGTCTTTGAAAAATTGTGTTTATGTGTCTTTTTTTTAAAAGAAGATATATGTACATTGGAATAACCTTGCAGGGCCTGTGGGAAGTTAGTTACAGAAGAATTTAGGATACAAGCTACTGTGTTGACCCTACAAAGCTGTTGTGCATTTGAAGGGAGCAATCAGGTGCACTGGATTTAGAACCTGGGTTGCATTTAAGCATGAATTCAGTTTATAGAAGAATATTAATAAACGAGCAGGGGCATTTTAAGATGAGGAGGAGGTTTGTTTACTATTACATGTAAACCTTTGAATTCTAGGATATTAATTCAAACAAATTTCCTTGCTCTTTGATGGTGGTTTTCTTGTTACTTTTTAATAGGCTTTTTATTTTTAAATAATTTTAGATTTAAAGAAAAGTTGCAAAGTAGTACAGAGAGTTCCCATAATACCCTTCACTCAGTTTCCCCCACTGTTAATATCTTATATTTCCATGGTATATTTGTCAAAACTAAGAAACTGATATTTGCACATTACTGTTAACTAAACTTCAGACTTTATTCAGACTTCACCAGTTTTTCCATTAGAGTACTCTTTCTGTTCCGGTGTCCATCCAGGGTACTACAGTGCATTTATTTGAATTCTATCTCCCCTCTCTCCTCTGGTCTGTGACCGTTCCTCCGTCTTTCCCTATTTCCCATGACCTCAATAGTCTTGAGGAATATTAACCAGGTATTTGATGGTAGTTTTAGCTTAACCTAGCACCGGAGTTTCCCTTTGCAGAAATTAATAAGACTACGGTGTCATTCTAGTCCAGTGTCTAATATTTTGTGGATCAGTGAGTTTAAGTGGATCCTTTAACAAGTAATTTTGTCCTATTGAGAATTCATCTTGTCCTGATACCTTAAAATATAGAGTTGCAATGTGGTCTTAGACCTTTCAGGAGGAATCGAGAACCGTCCCTCTTCTTCTGAGTTCTTCGAGCTCTCAAATTTAGTTCATTGGTGTCTCATTCTAAATCCAACTGGCCTGCTTCCTTTAAACCATTAATGAGATACTAATTTGAAAGAGTTATATTATTTTTATTTGCTACCCATTTCATCAGTGACTATGCAATAAACACACTGAAAGCTGAATGATATACAGTATTTAGATGCAATGAAAATATGGGAGTGGGTCAGTCTGCTCTCACCAGAACCTATCCCATTATAAAGTTGATTCTCAGAATTCAAGGAGATCTCTGTGGATAGGGCACCTCCTAACTGGTACATCTTTATAGATACTGCAAAAAACAGGAGGTGGGGCATTAATGAGGCACTAAAATTTTGCACCATGGTATTCTTTTTCCAGGATATCTAGACAAATTTAAGTAAAATAAATAGATTTCATGTCCTATACTGTTAGTTTGCCAAAACATTTGCCTTGAAACTCAGTGCTGATTAATTGCATTATAAATTAGTTCCCAGAAAGTCACCAGTGAGCTCCTCAGAGCTCCTCTTTGACCTTCAGTAATACTTTACATAGTTGAACTCCTCCTTCAAACTCTTGCCTGGGGTTTTACACCCTGAAGTATTTCAGTTCCTCCCTACTTCTAAAGGGATGGGGAAGAGAAAGTCTTCTAGAAACTGAGAATAGTATGAACAAAGCCACAGAGAAATGAATGTGCTTGGTGAGTCCAGAGAATGTGAGTAGATGAGTAATAAAGCAAGGGAGTTTTTCACCCACTGTTAGCTACTCTCGGCCTCTCGTGGGATGCCCCAATTTCAGACTGAGCAAAAAATAGAAAACAGATTTTATCATACACCTGAGCCCAGCATTTCCTATAGACCTGGAACATGTATCTTTTCATAGGTCAAGAGACAGCATCAGAGCACAATCAAATGCCCTGTTTCAGGGAATCAGAGAGCAAGGCCTGGGATAAAATAGGGGCAAAGACAGAAGGCTGACTATTCACCTTCTTATTCAGCTTCCAGTAGAGTCTCTCCATTCTAAGTCTCAACCCTTTGTGCATCATTGATCATGCTGGCTCTTACTGGGGAATAGGGAGTGGCTTTTTTAGAGTTCAATGTGAGATCCATTGAGTTTTCTGGCCTCTTGTGCTTTCTAATTTGAGTCTCCAGGCTTTCTATAATAAAATATAGTTCCTTCTTTTTTTCAATGAGGGTAATTTCAGATTTCATCCTGCAGAACATGACTGATATGACTCACAAGAGTAAAATTTATTTTATAGCATATCACAAAATACAAAACATTGCTTAGAAGACCCCAGGGAACGATTGGAAATTGCTTTTCTACCTTGTAGATTATTGAACAATAGCTGTTGTGATGTGATAAACTGATAAAAGATTAATTTTTGCAGTTACTTTGTGTACAAACTAACCCTGAGATGTTTGATATGATCCTCTTTTGTGATCTTGACAGCTGCTTTGTAGGCATGTTGTAATTGAGCTAGTGTGAGCAATTTTAAGTGACATTTACCAGTCTGATTTGAAAGAAATATTCTTTATTATGGATCTTGTTATTGCTATAGAAGTAATGTATGATTTTGCTTAATTTCTCTGGTACTTACTCTCCCTAAACAACTCTATCCCTTTTAACCACACCCCTCCACCCAATAATCTGATTCTTTTCTCTAAAATAGTCAAGCTTTTGTTTAAATTTCCAGTCTTGATGTTTGTATGATTGCATATGAAGACCCATTTGGTATCACTGGCTGGTACTTCAGGTCTTTCCACAAAGCATACTTTGGTCTGTTTCTAGGATACCAGGAAGGTATATCTGCTTTTGGAAAACTGAGTATGGTTTGCCTATTATAAGCCCCCGGACAAAGGGAATGTCAACCTAAATGGGATGGTAGCTAGAGAACAGATTCTGTTTGGTGTGACTGAACAATGACTAAAAGCCACACCTAGTCAATTTGGGTGGAATGCTTGCTGTAGCAGGCAAGTTTGTTGACTGTATTTAACAGGTCTGAATTGACATTTGCTAGTATAAAATTCCACCTCTGGAAGCTTTTGTTAGCTTTATGGAGGAAATTTAGCAAGTGAGACAAAGGGTGTGACTCCCTAGTATTTTTCAATGCAGTTTAAGAGAAATAGTTTCTGATGTTCACAGAAAAAAATTGTAGGTTTAAGAACTCCCCTTGGCATAATTAGGAGGCAAACATGAGCACTGTGGAAGAATTTTAGGAAAAGTAGTCACACTGAATTACTCTCAAGCAAAGCTAATGTTTTAAAATTGTAATTTCACAAGTAGGAATTTTCATTATAGGGAGGAAGGACTCTCGCTGCTGGATGTGATGTGTGTATAAAGTTGATAGGATGTTAGAAGGTTATTAAAATATTTTTGACTTAGACATTTTGCATAGTCTAGACCTGTCCATATCTAGTAAATTCCTTTAGTTTCTCTCTTTGAATGTGGTGATTCACATGGAAGCAGTTCTTTACACACAGGTGAACTTGACCCAGTCAAGTATATTCAGCAGATGATTTATATAGAGGGTATTGGCTCAGCACATTTGAGTAAGCCATTGGGGTGTGCCAAATCCTCTGGTCGGCTGGGTTTTTCATGGCTTGCATTCCTGTGGCCATGTGATGATGTTCCAGACCACGTAGGCTGCAAACATGGGCTTCACTCCAGGCTTTCCCTTCATCTCAGATAGAATCACCTGAGATCTGTCTGGACCCTCCCCATTTTTAACATGTTTTTATAATTCTATTTAGCAAATACATTTATCATAATCAAGCTTTATGTTTAGCTGACATTAATATAGTAAGAATGAAGGTGTTGTAACACTTCAGAACCAAAAAGGGAAAATACAGGAAATTCCAGTAGATAGGAGGAAGGGAGATATACTAATAAACGAATAATATCATTATTTTTAGACTCCGCTGTTTTTCATATTTTTCTTCTTTTATCAAGTAGGAGCTATAATGTATTAGAATAGCCCCCTCTATCCTTGGGGGATACCTTCCAAGACCCCCAGTGGATGCTTGAAATCATCGATAGTACCCAACCCTACATATACTATGTTTTCCCCTATACATACGTATTTGAGGTGTGACTGCAAAACCAGCACGAAATTCTTTTTCGTTCTTCCCAATTTCACGCATAGAAGATTTGTTCTTACCATAGATCTTAGCAACCTCAGCATACAATCTTTTTCTTTCCTAAGTTGAGAACTTTCACCTTTTCACTTAAGGGAAGCACTTTACAGCTTTTCTTTGGCATATCCGAATTGCCAGCATCACTCCCCTTGCACTTTGGGGCCATTATTCAGTAAAATAAGGGTAACTTGAACACAAGCGCTGCGATACCATGACAGTTGATCTGATAACCCAGAGGGCTGCTTAGTGACTGACTACCAGGTGAGTGGCGTATACAGCATGGATCCACTGGAGAAAAGGATGATTCATGTCATGGGCAGGATGGAGCAGGACGGTGCGAGATTTCATCACGCTACTCAGAACAGCGTGCGGTTTAAAACTTATGAATTGTTTGTTTCTCGAATTTTCCATTTAATATTTTGGGACTGCAGGTAACTGAAACCTTGGAAAGTGAAATCATAGATAAGGAGAGTCTACTGTATATTATTCTATGAAACTTTGGACTAGGAGAGTTTTAAGTGAATAGAAGTAAAATTGCAAAATATTTATTTACTTTTTAATTTTTGAAAACGTTAAGTAGTTAGATGATTTAGTTTGTTGTTAGTGCTGTCCAGGGGATTCTGACTCCTAGTGGCCCTGTGTACAGCAGAACAGAACCCTGCCCAGTCTTTTTGCACCACCTTCTCATCTTTTGGCATTATGTCAGACATGCTCTGCCACTCTTCACTGGGTTTTCTCGGCCAATTTTTCTGAAAGTGGGTGACCAGGTCCTTCTTCCTAGGCTTTCTTAGTCTGGAAGCTGCACTGAAGGCTATCCGCCATGGGTGACCCTCCTGGTATTTGAAATACCAGTGGCAGTTTCCTGACCAGGGCCCCAGCGATGAGAGTGCTGAATCTTAACTG